ACAACAACAATGATATTTTACTAATACAATATGTTTAGGGCACTTACTGAGCTGTTCTTGTTTGATGCCTTTGAGTTAGCTCTGACTTCTAGCCACCTTGAGTTGTGTACTACAGAAGGAGGGACTTCCTGATCCTCCACCATCCTCACCCTGTGCTGGAATCCACTGTGGCAGTCACCGAGTCAGTCCTTCTCGTTGAAATCGTCTTCTTTTCTCACTTTACCCTCAACCAAGCATGAGTTAGAATTATCTTTTAACTCATAAAAAGCACGACTTTATCATCTGGGTTCAAAAATCTCACATTATATTCCAAACAGGGCATGGTTTGCTCTCACAATATTTATAGGTGCATTTGCCGTACTTGATATTCTTCATTTTATTTCCCTCGCTTATAGCTGGTCTTGGAAGAACAGGAACATTGATAGCCTGTTACGTAATGAAACACTACAGATTTACACATGCTGAAATCATTGCTTGGATCAGAATATGCCGGCCAGGCTCCATTATAGGACCCCAACAGCACTTCCTGGAAGAGTAAGTATATTGTCTCCATTATCACATTATATCCCATTTCTGCCTCTTGTTCCTTTGGTGTGGACTTTGTCAAGCCCGTGGTTATTAAATGACTGCACTATGAGAAGTCGGTGCCTATAATGGAATATTGTTGATGTGACAGCTAATGCATTCTAACTTTGTACCTTTTATATCTCTTAGATCAGGTGAGAGCTTGAAGAAAATCACAGAGCCATCTCTGCCTACCTTTTTCCTGTCATTTTCTATGTCTGATCTGGCTACAGTGCAATTTTCTTATGTCATCCCACTTGGCACTTTTCTTTCTTTTCTTTTGTTTGCGTGTCTAAAAGCAGGAGAGAGAGGAAAAAAATAAAACATAACTCAGGTCAGCTAGCGATTTCACTAAGATTGCTGCTTTCCTGACACCTAACTGAACTGCTAATGTAGTTCCAACTTATGAATATGCCTTAAGAAGACACCAGGGAGGAAATGAGGGAAAACTGGATTTTAATCCTAACTTTGTCACACTAACTAGCTTCATGACTTACTTAGAAGAGCATTTATAAATTGATATCTTAATTTCCTCACTTGTTCACTCATCTATTAACTATCTGTCAAATCATACCATTTATCAGGTAAAAGGTGGACAGATTGAAATTGTGCAGCTTTTATTCCTCTCTTTGATTTCCTCTTAAAGTGTTAGGAATTGCCATGGACTAACTTACATATAAAATGAGAAAGTGAAATGAGCATCAGCTGATTTAGATATGGCTCTAAGTGTTAGGTGTTAGGAATGTTTTGTATTGAAGCTTCATTTTTTTTAAATACTGATAAGAATGATGTTCTTTTCTATGTAATTACTTCCTTTTTAGTTTAAATCACCGTAGGTTAATGAGAAACAAAATAATCCTGAGGTTCACAGGAAGCCTCATTTTAGCATCTTGAGATGATTAAGAGAATTTGAACTTGCTGAAGATTTAATTTATTTTAGTTATTAATCCCAAGAGAGAATAACTGATAGAAAGTAAGTGCAAATGTACAGTTTAATACTTTTAGCTTGGACGAATGAGGCAAAAGTATAAAGGATTAACACGAAAAGCCAAATCAAACCTTTTGAAGCGATCAAGGCAAAAGTTTCTGTGAGGCACTAACAATTCTTTTACTTTGGAGCTTTTTCTAATTAGGCCTCAGCTAGTGTTCTCTGTTTTGTGTTAAATGTACCTCTAACAAACAGCTTTGTACTGTGTGTCTGCTAGGCATTGTTACCCAACCCACTGTTACTGAGTTGATTTTCTTATCAACCCTCTATTAGTTTCCTGAAGCTGTAAATCTTTAAGGGATGAGACTGCCCACTTTTCTCTAAAGAAGTGACTGTTTAATTCCATCCTTTTGGTTAACAGCCTGATGTATTATGCACACTATTTCCGGGCTCCTCATTTATTGCTATAAACAGCAAATAGATGACCATTAAGTTTAAAACAAAAAGAACTCCAGGAAATAGCTCTGCCCTGCATACCTGGGATCACTATGAGCTGCAATTAGTGAAGACCTGAAAAAGACAGGTTATAGTAGATGGATCAATGGTGATTGATTTTATAAGACACAATGTACGTGAATGATTGTATGAAACACTGTGGATGAAGAAACAGTGAAACACAATGTATATGAATGAATCATAATGTCTATGAATTTTATATATAAAACAATATAAAAGAAAAAGAAATATAAAAAAAACCCCATTTAAATAACCCCAAAATCCACAAAAAAGGAAACCAACACCAAGATTTCCTTATTAGAACCCTTTGACCAGGTTAAGTATACTCTCCCCCCTTTTTTATCTGTTCTTGGCATTTCTGGATTTTTGGGTTTGAACCTTCTACAGCTCCAAGTACATCTTAGATATTCGGGACAAAAACAAAACCCAGAAACTCACCACCTTGTTGTTGTTAAAATCTACAATTTCCTAACCAGTTTACCTTTTCTTTACTCTTTTTTTAAAAAATATTGTTTTGTATGTAATTTCTAGAATTTTAAGTTGTACTTCATGGGAGGAATGGGGGGAATATGTATATTATTCTTCTTCCCAGAAATAGAAATTTTACCTTATATTTTAAGATACTCTGGCTGGCAGTTATGTTAGCATAAAATCTACTGTGGTAGAGAGTATGTAATGGCCCTCAGGGCAGCTTTGAATGTTATCTTATGTGGGAAAAGAGACTGTGTAGTAGTTACCAGGGACAAATAGGAGAGGAGGTGGTGAAAGAGACCTGGCTGTACAGTGATGGGAAAATTTGAAGATGGATAATGGTAATGGTTGAACAAGAATGGAAACATGACTAATATTGAACTAAAAATTATATGTGAAGAATGTCAAACTGGCAAAATATTTGTTACACAGTTTTTTTTACCACGATAAAAAAAAAAGAACTTGCAGATATGCTTAAGGGTCTTGGAATGGAGATTATGTTGTATTATTTAGATGACACAGTGTGAACACAACCGTGTTTTTAAGAAGAACACAGGTAGTGTCAGTTATATGGGCCAGTAACATGATGTGATAGTAGAAGCTGAGCCTAGAGTATATGCTTTGAAGAAGCAGGAAGAGCCCCAAATTCACGGAAGAGAGCAGCCACTGGAAACAGAAAATAGCCGGTTGATGTCTTGATATCAGCTAAGTGGAATGGATTTTGAACTTCTTGAGACAGTAAATCTTTGCTGTTTTAAGCAGCTAAGTTAATAGTCATTTGTTTCAGCAGCCATACGAGACTGATAGACCTATTTGGTGTAGATAGTAAATGTCTATAATCACAGATCATAATGATAATATGGGTATGTTGAACTTTCTGTTTTTCATCATATTTCTAATTTGAAGTATTTGAAGGAGAATCGTGACTGAAGATACATTTAAGACAGTAGCTAAAAAAAGATGACCGCCTTCTGTCTGAGGAGAATGAGACCATGTCCAAGGGGCTAGATGTTGGACTGAAGTTACAAATGGACACTAAGGACATTTCAAAGAAATAAATATCAGTCTTTAAAGACTAATGATTGACTAGATTTGAAAGAAGAAGCTAGTGAGGTCACTAATGACGCAAACTCATGAATAATTAAGATGGTCATTAAGACAGAAATAGGAGAGTAAAAAAAGTTTTCTGATTGATTCTCTTTTGTCAGAAATGACTGAATAAGTTAAAAGGATTGTATTCTTTCAAGAGTGAAAAAAGCCAATCAGTGCTAATGTTCATTCCAAATCTGTGCCTTTGGGAAAGCTGGTTTGTCACACTCTGCTAGTTCTTGAACAAAAAATATGTCCAGGTGTTTGAGATCTGCGTCTTAAATGGGCATTTTTCTCTGTCACTGACAGTGAGAGAGATGTTCACCAACATCTTTGTGAGTTGATGAATTTATACATGAGCAGATTCAAACCTTGTCTTTGCTATATACTCTGAAATTTTATATTTAAAATTCTTCTAGGATGAACAAATACTTTTCTTCAATTTCAGTCACATGATTTTAAGCTAAAAATGCTATTCTGAATCTACAGTTTGTTGCTTTCTATCAAACATCCTCCAAGTTCTTTAAATGATGCTCAAACAGATTTCTATTATCAAGTCAGCTCTAAACCCTTCCTTCTCAGAGACAGGATGCAGAAGTGTAAAGATGGGATTAGGGTGCTTTTATTGATTTGGTTAATTCAGTTTAGAGAATATTCTCTGAAACTTTGCTGGCCTTTGGATTATAATTTAGTCAAACCTCTATTCATCAGAAAGGGATCATTGAGAGATTAGGATAAATCCATGAGGATTTTCAGCTCTTTTACTTATGGACATTTGTGGATGTTGGTTTCATTTTTCCATTGTGGGTTTTTTTTTTTTTTTCATTTAAAATATCCTCCTGAAAAAGAGAGACTGCACAGAAAGCTTAAATTGGTACCTGTGTAAAGTTCTTTACCCACAAAGCAGAGTTTTTAGTTTGAATATAGTTGATATTTAAGAGACAATAATTTTTGGATTGAACTCTTCTTTTTCAATCCTTAAATCTATCTATAAATGACAGATTTCCTCATTCTACTTTATTATCACAAATATTTTCTTCAACTTTAAAGCACAGAGGGCCAGTAACATCCTTCTCTTTTGAGAAAATGTATTCCAGCATTGGAGGTTTTACTTTTGAGCTGGAGTATTAGTTTCATAGAATTAGATTTTTAAATGCAAAATACTTAAAAATACATGTTTTACTTCTTTTGTTTGAGATGAGGCTTTTAAGGCGTAATCGACACCACAATAAAAGCCAGCGTGGTTTTCATTGTCAATAAAAAAGGTATTTATGTGAAGTGCTGCTTTTTCTTAAGAAGCACTTGCGTACAGCATTGCTTAGCAACACACAAGTCAGCTGTGACATCTTATTCATCGTTAATATTCAGGTTCAAACCAAGTCTTTCCAGGGATGGGACAGAGTGTCTCTTTCAAACTGAGTAAGTGAAAGGTGTCACTTTGTAGGTGTTTCTTTTTTTTTTACTTTAATTGATTTTATTTTTACATAAAAAGTTCAGTAAACATTGGATAAAGTAAAAAGTGATTTTAAGCTGTAAATCAGTCTTATCAACATAGCACAAGGCTGGCCAAAACCACAAGGCAGCCTGCTTTAGAATATTCACATGATAACAAATTAAACCTTGCAGGAGAACTGTAACCATCCTTACAAAGTCTTTCTCTGATCCTAGCATGGAGAAGCTAAAAGCAAAACAAAAACCAGACAAAAACCAGGACATAAAGTTATTTATAATATATTCACATATACATTAAAATATAACACAGAGCATCAGGGTGTCGGGTGGTGGGATGGGGACGCGTATGGGTCAGTGCGTTGACAGCACCACCAAGGAGGAGACTCAGGCTGGAGAGTGAGTGTCAGGCCTGGGCCAGGGTCTCGGAGGGAGGGTCTGTCCTAAACCCTTGCTTCTGACATCCTCTAACCATATCCCTTCTTGCTCATGACTAGATATTCCTTGATGCAGCCGG